CTTTTAGCTGCTGCAGCAAATCTTACATTGAAAGATGAGCTATTTTATCGAGTTGTACCACCGGATCAAAGCTTCACCGAAAATTATGCCGGTTGTTTTCGTTTAATCAGAATTAATTTTGAAGTTTTAAATTCGGTTCTCAGTTCCCACATTTTCAATTGAAACCTTTTGTTTCTACCCTTCGTTTTCAGTTTCCTTTAGTTGAATTTTATCAGAATTTTCATACTCCCATAACCTATCCGTTTCAAAACAAAATTATTATATTTAGTACTATATATTTCCCACAATCAGTTGGCTCCATACTTAGATACTTGGATTTAGATCCATACTTAGATTAGTGACATTTGTTGGTGTAAATAAGTGTAAGATATTTGAGAATGTAACACCATCATCAAACAGACTGCTTTTCAGTCACTTGTTTTTTTACATCCGTGGTTTTCCATACATCTCAATTTTGATCTCCCCTCAACTGTAAAATCAATTATTGTTATTGAGACTCCCCATTCCTACCACTGTACTTCGTTCAGCACGGTAAAACCTCAGCATTTCCAGCACCAGTTCATTCTGGTTTATCACTTAAACCTTAAGTCTTAAAGAAAGGCATACTGTATGCATCTTTACTATTTCTATCTTTCTCGTTGTCAAGTTAGCCAGCAAAAAACGGCCAAAGACGTCAAATGATCAAAAGATTCACCCTGACTCCTTCCACCTCCTAACATCTCCCTATTCGATTCACTTATCGACAGATCAGCGCAAAACACGGCTCCCGGAGTGAAAAAAATCCGCCCTTAATGGTTAGTGCATCTTGTTGTTCCCAGTGGTTGTTTACGGAGTAGCATCGCGGTACTTTCGTGTCAATATAAAGTGGACATATTCAATGTTAAGTAAACAGAGAAGTCTTTAAAGTCAGTCGGTGAAATTATATGCTTCACCAAATTAATCCCTCTCTGTTTTTTTCTTTATTATTATAATTTAATTCATCCATTTCATACGTCCAATAATTTAGCATTGCGGTAGAACTGAAGTTACTCCAAGACAGATAAATGGTATTTTTCATTGCTATATTACTCTTATGATATAATTAATTACTTCTTTTTTTCTTTGAAGTTTTGAGGTTTGCACCATTTCTTCCTTTTCAAGAAAGAGGAGCGGTGTTTGCTGAAAGTTTAGTTAGACAAATCTGCTGAGCTCATACATTTGGCTATTACTAAAATGATAACACAACTGGGTTCCTCTGTCCCATATTTATACGCCTTCTCCATCCATCCCTCATTAATTGCTTTGGCTTTTTGTTAATAAAACACGGTCTAATTTTTATCAAGAACTAATTTGCTTGTTCCTTTGTAAACTGAAAAATTCTAGTTGTAGAATCACCGATGTGTCTCTCCTTTTCTCAAATATTAAATTATTATTAAAGTTTGAGTAGTAGATGTACTATGTTTCCTTTTATATGCTTCAAGAAACTATGCTAAACTTCGTAGTCTACTGGCCTTTTCATGTGTCAGCAATAGGATGCTAATTTACATGCAGTACGGCAACGTTATACTCCCTTTTACTGCAAAATCCAGATATGAATTGTACTGTGATGGGTGCTGAGTGCTGGGCCAGAACGGCCAGCGTATGAACTAAAAATTTGTTTCTTTGTTCATTTTATATATTTCAGCGAGCTTTCAGGTCTTATTTCCTCTGTGTTGTGGTGTTGCCTCAGTCTCAATAAATACTCGTTCTTGGTGCACAGCGCAAATGCAGGAACTCTGCAGTCACAACATACAAAGTAAGCATTTGGTCATCGTTGACTCTTTGATGCTTGTGATTAGGGGATTAGGATTGAATGAATGGCATTATGTTGAAGGAATCGGAAATCATTGATTCCTAAAATCACTCGTGATGAAATTTTAATGAACGGTTCCAGGCTTATTTCGATTTCATCGTTTCATTTTGTGTATTGAAGAACAAGGTTTTTCGAACAGTGCTCAAAATTTACTCTCATAAAATCACTTTTCCTTCTTCCCCCTTCATCTAGTTTTTATTATTCTATTAGATGGTTTTTGTGTTTCGCCATTTTCCGATAAATGGCGAATATGATTTACTGCGTGTTATATAATATTTGCATAGCAGTACTATGACTTTTGCAGCGCATACCTGACATAGGCTAGCAGATAATATGTATTCCAATTACTATCACATTATTGCAAAATTGCTCATGTGAACGACAAATTAAAATTTGATTGTGAAGAATATGCCAAGGGATAAGGTCTAGTTTGTATGTAATAAAAATAGAGAAGCTTGTAGTGGTATTTATGAGTTCAGATGATGAACTTGCTGTGAACTCGAGTTGCAATGATAATAGTACAAAAAGATAAGTTTCTTCTTCGTAATAGAACTATAGTAAAGAAGGGATTCTTTTTTTATTTTACATTATGATCTTCCATTCATTTCTGTGAGGAATATAATCATACAAGTAACATGAGATGGTCAGTGGATGAGGGGTGGTTGGGGTGCCGTGCAGATGTTCCCATTAATGTATCGTTGTTTACGCCTAGAGTTCGAGGTAATAAAAGTTTATTTCGGGATTGATCCCTCTACGAACTCCACGTTTTCCTTACCATGCTCATTTTCCAGCCCATCTTTTTGATCTTTTCAAGTTCACTTTCTACTGGTTTAGATATCTCATCCAATGCACCGTTCAATATAAGGTCCCTGTATACTGCACACCGTGCACCTGTTGATTGCTCATTGTACTCTTCCCTGTAAAAATCACCCATATCTAGATCTGTTTGATCTTATCTTTAAGAATTCGTAAAATACTTTAAGCTCTTCATAAGTAATTGCTTGCAATTGTACGCAAATTAACATAATCAGCAGGCTGTATGTTAATTTTGCTATTAGATTTTAGATTAGAAGTGCATTCACTGATACCAAAATGATCTTGATGTTTATGGTTCATGGTATGTGTGGATTCTGTTGTAAAACTTGCACTGATGGATAATGTTATCTATGTCATATGGAAATGTAAGTAAAGTAAATTCCTGATAATTGTGTCTTTTTTAAGGCAAAGAATGCTAACTGTGCTACTTTACGATCACAAAGAGAGTGGAATCTTTTCACAGAATGAGTAGCATAGAGGATATGACGGCAGTCTTGAGAAAAGTTAAGTTTTCTGCATAAAACACGTTGCTTCTTCTGATAACAACTATTTTACGCCACGCATCGCAGAGTTTGATTAGTTAACCGATCTCTAAGCGGATGCGTGCAGGATGGATGCAATTTTTCTTCCAATTCCTACGAACAAAGGAGAAAAGTTCCAACAATTTTGACACTGCGGGATTTGTGTTCTACAAGGATTCTTACTGAAACTGCTTGCAGTGAAGGTCGATAATCAAAGATCGTGCTGCAACCTTCAATTCCTCCAATTCCCAATATTTCGGCAATGTTAATATTCGCACTAGGTCGTCTAAATCTATATATTTCCATCCCTGCAACTTATCTTTTTCTTCTATTTATAATTTCATATGTATACAAGAATAATTTTTGTTTCACGTTATAAATCATGAATTCGAAAAGTGACAAGTTTGAAAGTTCTGAAAGCATATGGCTTCTGATATTATATTTGTGAATTTTGTTCCAGAAAACTGAGATAATACTCCAGCAGCAGTTAACGATAACAGCATGACTTATTACTTGCCTTCGGACAAGGATTCAGGCCTTTATTTTCTTAATAGTCTTATCACCTACATTATGGCTCTTCCAAATTTGTATCATTCTTGATTAAAAATTGGTAAACTGCTTCATACGATGCAATATGAAATTAATTCGCTATTTTCCCGTCTTACTTTTTAGCCTAGAAGAAATTCATCCTCAACAAATTTTTCTTAAGAGTTTTCTCAATTAACCTGGATAAGGGTTCATCAAGCTCATTTCTCCTAGATGCTTTACGAATAATTTTATACAGACCTTTCTGCAGAGTCAGAACTGGCAACAATCAATAAATGGAACGTAATAAATTCGTGATGAAGTTTACATCGAAAATGGCGGATTCAAGTTCTATAGCAACGGCTTCGATGGCTATATCGACGTTAATCGGTTCTAGTATGCAAAGTAATTCGATTGTTTGACGCATTTTTCTGATATCCTTCTTCAACTCCTGGTAGAACTGATTTTGGAGTGCTAAGGAAAGTGCCTGGAGCAAAGTTATCCTCAAAGCATTGGAAACATGAAATAACAAATGCAGTAGAGTTTGGTAAATTATTAACTGCCTAACTTGTGCAGCTTAATTACTAATTTGCATACGTCTCTTCAATTACCTTGCCTTGCTAATTCCATAATTTTCGTTTCTCTGATAGCTGCAAATCTAAAAATGTCAGGTTCTTCAAAGTACTTGGAAATCCTTCAAGTGACCTGGAGTAGATATCATTTGATACCGACTTACATAACCTATCACATCATGGTGATAATTTAATGTTGTGTGATTAACAGTTGGATTTTCATCGATTAAATGGTGAAAATATTTGGTACTCATATAAAGCATCCATTTTGAATACATTATGGAATATGCATTTGTACCGAATACTGTGAAATCTCTGTAAATATTATCAGATTCAATTATCTGCTAGATTATTTACTTGTAGTTTATTTTGTTGGTCTAAAGGGACGTTTGAGTGCTAGATTAATCAATAGTACTTGTAAGCTTTGGAGTTCAGCTGGCTGTTCCGACGTTCAGCATGTGTCAGTGATCGAAGTCTTCCTTTCTGTTCAACGAATTGCATAAATTCTGCTTCCGGATATGTAATAAGGATGCTAAGACCGACCAAGCCATTTCCGTATTCCGCTGATGTAACAGTGTTGTGCAATGATTCCAGAAATGGATCCATACCACGCATGATAAATGTATGTTCAAAATCGGTTTCTTGTGTTTCATTCAGTATTGCTACAAAAGCTGGGTCTGCTAAGTTAATGAGACTTCGCTAATATATTTTCTATAATTGTATTTAATTCCATGAATTCCATCTGCGTATTGATGAACGAAATGAACACTATTGCTAACTTGGTTTATTTTGTTATCTCACATAATCTTACTTTCCTTGGATATTGCACTTGACTATTTGTCAGCAAAGCAATTTCACGCAGAATTCACCTTCTAGTTTATAATAAATTTATCGAAAATTCGAAATTATTATTCGTTTTTTACTTCAAGATAAAATAAAAAAGACTGCTTAGAAGGACTGAGAAAATGGCAGACTTGTAGAACTTCATTTGGCTTTTCTGTTTATGATCATCAATAATATTTATGAGTGGAATAAATTTTGTAGGTACAAAACAAAAGTTAAGCTTGTCAAAGCATACTGCTCTGGTAGGAGTGCTGCAAGTTTTTCTTCATTTACTCGATTATACTCTATACATAAATTAGTGTATTAAATTTAATGGAATCGAAAGTTCCAAATTATACTCTCTATAGCTGCAGAATTATCAGGATCTTTCGAGGCACCGAAACGTATTGCAATTAATCCGGAAATTTGCATATGCAGTTCATTTTGGCAATTCACAAGCAATGTAGGTTTTTCTCGACAAAAATCTGCTACATTGATTTTAAGTTCACTGGAATGTATTTGGATTTCTTTTGCAGGACGTAAAAGCCTGAGATAAGTAATAAAAATGACTGGAATTCATGTTGGTTTAGAAATAAAAGCATCCGAATGAAATGTTAGCAAATTGTGGGAAAATTAATTTTACCACACAATCCGATTCATAATTATTCATGTAATTTCCTGCATAGGGAATTTACAACATCCTATAACGGTAGTTGTCTGCTTTTTTCCATTTCCCCCTTTGAAAAAAGAAGTGCGAACTTCCATTCTAGTGAATCTTAAAGCGAAAGATTTCTTAGTCTGGAAACCACATCACAACTGAATCAATACTTTTACGGAAGCCTTCAGAAGCCTTTATCATTGTCAGAATACAGTGCCTACAGTTAGGAAACAAGTTGGCGAACTTTAACATACCAAATAAAAAAGCTAAGATGGACAGCCAGAACTTTCAGGAATTTTTTTCACTTACAATTCTATCGAGCGTGGTCCATTGGCAACAATAAATGGTACACGACATTCTTCTTGACGTAACATCTGCGCTGGAATGTTTATTTTGGCATCAAATGTCAAATGAGAAGGCACAAATTTATTTAGCTCTTTTCCTAGAATTGGTTGAAGAGCCATATTTCATTGAAATGGAAGATCCTATTTGTATTTTAAAATCAGTAAAAATGATTGGCCAGCAGTCGTCCCTTCATTTATATCAATTGTTTGGATGCAGCATTTTGCATTGTTACTGAAAATTTGAATTTATTTAAAATTCGCATTAGTCAAATTATAGTTTTGCTATGGAATGGATAAATGAATACTTTACAATTAAATGATGGCGTCAAAACTATTCTATGAGAGGTAATATCGTTTTTCCTCTACTTCATCTTGTCAATTTTGTTCAGGATTTTTTTGGCGACAACTGCGACTTTTGCGATGGATTAGTTTTTTAAACAGTAATTAGTTATATTCTTTATTTGATCTGGAGAAAACATTATGGTGGCTATATTAGTTTCGCTATGAAAATTCATCAGAATGAGTTTCTGTCAAGCTTGTTATGACATGAGAGATACTGCAATTAAAGAAGTCGCTTTAATGATTTTCATGATTTTCCTTTTCTGACTTGAATTTTCGAAATTTCCATTTTCTTCGGCTTTTATTTCTAAAGCAAAGATGATGAGATTCATTTGATTATGGATTCTTCCAATTTCATAGGAATCCCTCTGCATGTCTAGTAAAAACAAAGTGATGCTTTTTCAAGTTGAGTACCACCACCTTTATACCTCTACTGCATTTTGTACAATTCAGTCCAAGTAAAATATTTATGTTTACCGGTCATAAAAATACTTTCTGTAATTTTATATTTAAATGAAACAACAAATACAAGGAAATGAAAGGGGAGAAAAATCATCTACTATTATTTCACGTAAAAATAAAAAGTAAACAGTTGGTAGCAAGAACGAGCTATGGTTGTATTATTAATGACAAAAGTATAACAGAGCTTCCTTTACTTCGCTCTTTTCTTTGCTTAGCTAAACAGCTGTGAATCCATTTACTTTTTCGGAATATATTTTGCCATATTTTGCTGAAAAAAGATGACCTTGCATTGTACAGAAAGTTAGTAAAAGATAAAATGATTAAAATGTCAAATAAATTTGGATTTTTGAAAATTCCTGGCAAATATAAGCCATTTAATTATTGATGGATTGAGGAATTTAAATACAAGAGTGAATGAGAAACAATTATTCACCAAGTTTGTTATTTATTTGAACTACAAACAGTGAGCTTACAGATTTTTCTATTTTGGTAATTTGAAATAGGCAAAATCTACGCCACTAACATGATTGGCCTACGGACATCGTGTTTCTATTGATCGAATGCTCGAAATATTATTTCGGTCTAGTTGATTTGTCGAACACAAACAATGCCAAATATACAGCATTAAATGCAAATTGGCTGAAAGTACTTACATTTGCATATTATGAGATTTCACTTTTTAATTAATTTGGGATTTAAAACAATTAATTTATTGGATTTCAGGTATATGTTCAAAACGGACAATATATTTTGGGTATAAAAGTGGTTGATGGTAAGATCAGTGGGACAGAGAAATGAAATGGATATGCAACTATTGAAAATCTAAAATAGAAAGATAGTTACGGAAAGATGGTCAGCCCATGAAAATTTTTTATTCCCTATCCATATTTAAATCATATTCTCCTCTTGTCCTCAAAGGTTCGGTTGTGATTACTTCATTTAAAAAAAAAAGAAAAAATTGAGGGTCAGCAGTCCAGTTATGGGAGTGGGGAGAAACCACTGCGCAGATAGTAGTTCCTAATAATCACATGAACTGGAAGAATGCAATGGAAGTGACCATACTAGAACTAACTTGTGATAGAAAGGAGTATTATTTACAAATTAATAGCATGGATATTAATCGGATAAAGCAGCAGTTTTGCATGACCATTGGGTAAAGAATTTCAAAAAATCTAAGGGTTTATATGAATTACATTGTTTTGTGTTAGGTTTGCAAATTTTGAAATGTTAACATTAAATTTATGCACTCAAGAAAGCTAACAATAACTATTTGTTAATGATTGAACAGTTTGTTAACTTTTGGAGCACAAACTTCATATTAGTAATTTTGATTATACAGCACCTGAAATAGAGCGCTTGTGCAAGCATTCGTGCTGAGAAGTGAAGCGCCTCCTCATGAACATCAGGCATTCCGAACAGTATTACCAATCGATATATATTCTCTGGTGTATTCAATATTATGCAAATCAATGCAATCGATAACCACCTCCATAGCGTGCGGCTATGCTTAGGCTACAAAGTTTGCAAAATTTATATACAAGCGCTTATATAAAAGCGTATATACTTATATACACTTATATACAAGCGTCATAATAGCTTCTAAGTTTTTTTTTTTTTTCCTACTTATTACTTAGTTAACAAACTGCCGAGTGTTATTTTGTTTAATTTGATAAAATCTGATTAATTACTTGTTGTAAGCTGTTGTTAGTTTGATCGGTCTATATGCATGCTCATTACTTTGATGTCGCGTAGAGGAATCCACTTTTTTATAGAAAACATTTAGTGATACATGTCATTTAGCAGATGGGAACAAAATGATTGTTTGACTTTTTCAATCATTGGCTTTTGCTTTTTAATGAAGACAATGCCTTTCATTATTTTAAAATGAATAAGCATAATTAGACTCACTCGAGTAAGTGTCTGGCTATTTCTGGAATATACACAGGCAATAGTTGGGGGCTCAAAAGTTTGTTCAGATCTTTTTTGCGCTAAAAACCTTTGCATTGCGCCAATGTCACACGATACCATCCTGTAATTATCACCTATACAGTGCTAATAGAAAATTCAGATATCAATACCCTTTATTTTCCTAAATATTTCGGTTTTGCTGTTTTAATACAAATTGAATTTAAAGTCAACCAAGGAATGCGTTGTAGTTTTTCCTTTTTTTAATTAAAAATTAGGCGGTTTGACTACAGAAAAAATGATGTTTGTGATAGAACATTTGCATCCAGACTAATCATGATTTGAATTTAAAACTTATTTTTCGATTTATCAATTTTAGAGTAAAAGAAAACTTGGTTACTAACAACTTCATATCAGTTTTGAATTGAAAGTATTGCATTTGAAGCATATAAAGATCGTATGATTTGCTATTCCGGGTGATAACAAAAACAACTAACGTGCTCTTGATAAGCACAGAAATATCCATAATAAAAATAAGCAAGCAGGGGACACAAAATGACCAAGCACATTCAACAATATGAAACAAACGATTCCAAGCAAGTGATCGAAATAATGCTTGTTGGATACAACCTAATTGAGTGGAATGAACGGCCAACAGAAGCCAAGCATTCAACGCCAATGATACTATCTTAAACACATTTATTTATTACAGTGACACCGGATTCTGATTGCTTTCTGAGCTTATTTAGATCGGGAAATAGATCAACCGGATGAACTGTGTGTTTCACTCTACCGTGTATCTATCATTCCGTGGAATTACATTGTAGAAATTGTAGATGCTGTGAAAAAAAAACGATAGAAGTTGCTTTTGAACATCATATCCATCTCAATGAAACTGAATATGCTACGGTAGAATTGAAGAAGATCAAAAAGTAAATCCATCTCAATGAAACTGAATATGCTACGGTAGAATTGAAGAAGATAAAAAAGTAAAACTGACTATAATGAATGACAAAGCTCGATATGGCATTTGCCACAGTTGAAGATGGAAGAGTGGATGTCTGATAGCGAGGTAACGAAGTGTTGAAAGCAGAAGCCATGACCAAACAGAAATATCTGTTACTGTATGTGTCAAAAATAATACTGCCTGCAATTCATATTTATTGAAAATTACGCTAAATAAACAAAGATAAAACAGAATGACTGAAATAAACAAAAAAAAGAAAAAAAAGACAAACTGTCAAGTTGATATATAAATAAGCATATAATCAGTGAAATTCAAGGAATAACTGAGAATCAGATGGATATCACTGATTTGATTTTATCAATATTCGGATATTAGTGTACGCTAAGTAGAACTAGTCCAGATTAGTTTAACTCTTATGGCTAAAGTGCATCTTCAACCTATCAACCATAATATTTGCATGACTTGCTTGCTCGATCAAATGTAGAATAATTGAGAATTATCAATTGTGCGAATGAGTCACTGCTCATATGATACAAGGTTCAGGAGTAAAATTTTATACAAAAATAAAGAATTTGAAAGTAGGATGGCCTGAAAAGAACAAAATGATTAGCAGTAAAGCTGAAAAGTGGAGATGCTTAATAAGATTTTGAGTAGTTTTCAAACCTTAGGCTTTTCATTAAGATGGGTAAGACATCCCATCCTATGTCTGTAAATTTATCCTAGTTTCGCGCAGAGACAATGGAGATCCTTGTTTCTTTTAGATAGCATTCGATGGCATCCTAACTTTTATGACTAACTTCACCTATGTAATGGAAAAGTGAATTAATTGTGTTTGCTTTACATCCTTCTCGAATCATCAAAACTAGTTTTTCTTCCTTTCTGATTTCTTCATAGGCAGATATAGAGATGAAAAAGCTTGGATAAAGCTTCTATTTAGTTTGATTGAACTTTTTCAGTCAGAGACATAATTTGAATTATGACTGAGATGACATTATCTTTGAAATTCTGTTCGTACTAATTTTCTTCAGATAAACGAAATTATTACTTGTTTCCAGTTCTTCACCGTCTACAGTAATTAAAAAGACAAAACAATGTCAGAGTAGTTTTCGATTTTTAGCGACTTCAATTCCCAGTTCATTCCAGCTATTTTTCTAAGCCATTCCAAATCAGAACTATATTTCCTTGAAATCGTAAATACTTCCGTTATCTGCAAATCTTTATTCCATATTTTTAATTTTGTTTTCTGAATACCGCTTCGACAACATCAGCTAGGAGCTGTGGACAAAATAGACTAGGCTTCTTTTCCCTCTTCCCAAAAGATACTTTCCATGTTTTTTTCATATATAAGATATCAGCCAGACTTTCGTTGTCATATTCTTCCATTTCCTTACATATTTTCGCCTTCAAGTTTTGCTGCGATAAAACCTGAAAGATAAAATATAATTGAGCGCTATGTTCATATCCCATAAGAAGTTGAAGTGATTTTGTCCATTGAACCATGATTCTTTTTACATCCATTTTCTTGTAAAATCAGTACATTCATAACACCAGCCGGATTCTTTGCCAATGATGGTCAGTGGATCTTCTTCATTATTTATTTTGTATAAAAAATTATCTATAATTTTTGCCTTATTTCAACTTTTTCCAAATATGATGGGTCGATAGACAATTTCACCACTTTCATTTTTAAATTTCATTAGCACTTGTTTGAACAGGTTGTTGGCATTTTGAAGTTTTTCATTCTCATCTTAATCAATCGTTCACTATCGTTTCTTTTGCCAATTTCTTTCATCCGCTGTATCTTTCGAAATCTTTTGTTTCAAAATCTTTCATATAAATTATCGACGACCTTCAAAATCGCAACAAAAATCTTTTATTGCTGCAAACGATAATCCAAGATGATTACAGCTCTCTTCTTGTCAATTTATAGTAAAATGAAGTAAAGAGAAAAAGCCTGATATTTTTGATATATGAAGAGAAGAGGAAGAGATGATTCAAAAAATAGGAGAAAAATCAATAACTTATTAAATAATCATTAAATTGATAATATTCAATAATAGAACGCATTATTCCAATCCTCTGCTTATTGTTATCTAACCTGAGATGAGCTTCATGGATATTTAAAATATTAAACGATTTTGCTTTTGTACAATAGTAGATGACCCGTATGTTCATCCATCCCCTATACAATCTTTACACTAACTAATGTATGTCCACATGCGTGTCATTTTGTGAAAGGATTAGTTCTTTAGATTGAAAACTGCAAGATATTTGTGGTACCTTACAAACGTAATGCATAAATACTTCATCGCCACCAAGTTGTGGATATAATTGCATGAGATTCTGTGATAATATCAACAATAAGGAGCAGAGGTCAGCAGCCGCCATTGAGCAGAGTGCTACACCGGTACCACTACGGTATCTTTCGTTGTCATTTCTAAAATGATATAGGTATGTTTGTTTAAGATTGCCTATTTCAAACTCAGATTATTCCTTCGATTAGCTATTGTGTTTGTCATAAAAGTCATTAGTACGGTTTGAGAAAACTTCATAGACTGACAGTCCTAGGCAAAATTCAAAAATTTTTAGATTTTAAGCAGACAGATGCACACCATAAGTACATCCCCACATTAATGAATATATCAAAATAAGTACTGGGAAAAGCAAATGGGAGATTACTTAGCTAGCTTTTTCATTCGAATCAACACGTAAATATTTGCTGGGATGCCAATAATGGCAGCAATGAAGTAAATAAGTAGTGTCACCGCGGCGACATTCCTCACGATCGGATCGTTTGCCAGGAAATCTTGTTCATCCATGTACTGCAATAAATTGTACTATTAAACCCTTTGCTCCTTCTGGAACTTCTTATTGGTTTTTTTTCCCAACATTATCTGTCCTAGAACAAATTGAAGCTTTTCATTACAAAACCATACATTGATTTTAATGAAACGCTAGAAAGAAGCCATTTTTTTTTCATTGGGATAATCTTAAAAAGGGTCTAAATTAGTTTTCATTTCATTATTTATCTTTTCCCTTTTCCGACTCCGTCTCTTTTTATTCCAGCAAATTTACAGGAAATGCCAGAAACAGTAGTTTAGAGACAACTTCTACCCTCTCACAAATTATGAAATTTGTTACAAGAAGATTCATGATGACAAAATATTTAAATTTTCCAAGTAATGAATTGAATTTTCTCTGTTACTAATTCAAAAATAGAATTTTTTTTGAATAACGTTTTCCATCAAAAAATTTCTTGAAATCTTAGGACATTTTCTCTCGGTTGAATGAATTATTTGACTATTTGGAATAATTTGAAAAGTAAATATCATAAGCCTAATACAAATATATTAGGTTCAGGACCGATTCGTGTTAGCTGTGTTTCCCTCATTCTGTATAATCCGAATAAGTTAGAAGGTGAAGTCAGAAATAAGTCTCCATTTTTTTTAAAAACATAAAGGATTTTAAGAAATATCTAAACTGCAAAAAAAGTGTATTTACCCACAAAATTTCTGAAGTCTGCGATTTTTAGTAATTGATATTAATTAAAAATTGATAGACAAAAAAAATTTGAACCACTCATCACTTTTACTTTTCGTTTCTTTTGGAACAAGAAGTTAAAGGAAAAGATTTGATAACTTAAATAAACTATCATTTAATTTTGAACCCTTTATTTTTTGAATATTTCAATAATTTTTTGCATTGCTGGATTCAAAGATACCAGTTAGTTTATTCGTTCTAGCCTTTTCATTTCAGCTGCCTTCCACCGTATCGCTAAACATAACAATTAGCTTCATCAACGCTTCTGATTCACAAGAGAGAAAAGAGAAATAGGGAAAAAATAAGGCCTGTTTTCGACTACAAAGCTAACTTGTCCTTTTGACTTCGAAGCATTCAACTTCCTTCCAATCTACTCTTTTCTTATCCTACAAAATAACAATTTTTTTCATTGACTTCTCAAATCCTCGTTGCAAATGAACATTATGCATAACTTTTAATATAACTAACGTAGGAATCAGAGGCCAATAGGCCATCCCTTGGTAACACTGCCATGGCTCATTCGCATCCCAACACTAATCTTAGAACAAATTTTTCCTCATCTGTTTCTTTCTCTTCTCTATTTTAATCTTAAGATATTTAGCATTTTTCTAAATCCCAAAACTTGCTGTTTCACAATTTTTACCATATTTCACAAGTCATTACAGTCATTACACTTGCAACCCTAAAAATACGAATTCCTTTACAATACATATCAGTCTTTCAACATCAAAGAAAAAAGAATAATCTCGTGTCACCTGAGATAATTAGTACTAAATGATAAGTTTAATAATGGTACTTACTGTTGGATTATTGTGCTTTGGCATGATATATAAAAAAGATTACTTAATGAAAATGACATCCAACAATTGTGAATTATAACATAAAAAAAGATCCTAACTTCATAATAGTCATAGCTAAAATTCGCAAAACTGCCATTGTCAACTGCAAGCTTGCCAGCATCTTTCATTCTGAAAATTCAAATTTCTAGATGTGAATATAAACACTGGAGCTATTAATCAAAATACAAACGAAGAAAATAAATCAACAAAATAAGAAATTAAAGAGATGTGTGAGGAAATACGACCAATAATTTAAACAAAATTTCGATCAATAACTTGGAATTCAAGCAGTTTGACCAGGCTTATATTTCTACTTTTGTACTTATTGAATGCTGAACAAAATAGCTTTCGCAAGTGATATATCAAACATTCTAAAATATTACATTTAGAATCTTCTGGACAAAAACATTAATTCATGCAATGTCATCTAACGTTTGATTTTGCTTTAAAAGACAAAAAAAAAGAAATTTGTGAAAAACATGTCAAACTAAGTCATCGATGATTTTCAAAGAAAAGTGTTTAATATAAAAGGATTAAGATGTCCTTGATGGGATTATTTTTGTTGATCACGTTATTTCTAAAATGTGCAAATTTTATTTACTATTTGTTGCGCTATGATTTAATTCCATTATGAAAAATCTTCACGTCAAGTTATTCATTTTGAATTGCAGAACTGAAGTAGAACATGGTTGAATTTATCTTTTTAGGGAGTATCTTTAAATTAAATGAACAAAGGAATTCAGTTGCTCACTGCTTCAATAATAAATGGTTAGTTCGTGCAGCGTCAACGCCAACGCACGTTATTTCGTTACTTGCATTAATTGCCATAAGTGTATGGCGTTCTGATGTCATCGCGTTAGAAGATATGAATTACTTGCAATTGCAACAAAACCTGCATCTTATTGTTTTGTTGCACCAATAATTAGCCTATTTTTCGTTTTTCCACAGCAAATCCAATATTCAATGAACCTTTCCGTCCATTGGTCATCTCGGATATCTCAGAGACTAATTTCATGGTCCGATCGTTTTTTCCAACGCTGCTACAAATTACTTCCGTCTATCGTTTCTTAACAAATGTGAGTAATGTATTTTGTAAAAGTTATATTCATATTATTAGAAAACATTGGTCTTTTCGAGCATTTTTTTGTTTCCGGCTTAGCTTTTGTTTTAAATTTTAACTTAATTTAAATGATACAAGAAAAAAATGAAGAGAAATTTCTACTGTTGTCAAACAACATAAATCTTTAGAAATGGAGGGAACTTAGCCAAAAAATTTGTAAATTAAAAGTCGATTATAAGTATAAATTCAAAGATTCTATAACAATAACTTATGTCAACAAGTTTTGATTTTTTATCTAATCTTTCTGAACTTTGACTTCACTTAAACTATAAAAAACATCCACTGAACCAACCGCAATGCCAGTATGAGAATAGTCTTCTCTGCAAACTATACAGAATGCAACATATTACCAGCCTTATTTTGCTTGCAAAAAAGATGACATGTCACGAGAGATCTCTTATAAAAGCAAATCCCTTTCAAAGAATCTTTAGAAATAAATAACAGGCAATATTTTAAACTGACGGATGAAAATAAGTTTTTTTTCGCCAACTTCTGACCAAAAATCCTTGAAGGGATACTTAAAGCAGAATTCACTCCCTTTCCAAAATCTTTGTGTGTAATTTTGAACTACGTAATTTTGAACAATCTTTGTGCGTAAATTCTTTTGAACACTAATTGGAATAGAATATTGGCGTACTTCTCGAAATCTGAGAAAACTCTGAAGTTCTTGTTGTTGGAAATTTTATATTAGGTTATTCGTCAGGCTATTTGTTTACGCTACCAACTCAAAGAATTGTATTATTTTGGCTTTTGGCTTAAATTTACCAAAGCCAAATCTCACGTGTATTGTTGTTGCACAAATCACTGTCACGTGAAGATGACTCTGTGAGCTAAAATTCACGGAATCATTCTGAGATAACTAAATTAAACTGGAGACTTATGTATCTGAAGAGGAGAATATTTTCGAATCTTTGATATTACCAAAAATATCTACCATTGAAGTGCATTAAATAGAGAAAACTTATTCCAGAGACCTAAACACCCGTCATGATTTTGCAAAGGCTTTCTAGAAAGCCTTTCCAGGAAAGCCAGAAGTTTATGGGACACATATATTATAGAAATATCCGACAAATCTCAATTCAAACATTTTCTGCAGTTTGAAAAATAAACAAAACCTTGCTAGGAAAAAGTGAGGTGTTTTTCAACTGTTTTAGAATAATTGAGCTCATCGACCTTTGGAATCCTTTGCTTTCTAAATTTAATTTTCAAAAATTTCATTTTTAATGTTGCTCCTTTCTGCGTTCATCCGGTTCTTCCAATAAAATAAAATAAAGCATTCAAACTGTTAATTGTAAAGGTGCAAAACTGAGACACAGAAGTGTGTTTAAATGAAAAGGTGGATGGAAAGGAATAAAACTGTTGATTGGCAGTGAATAATATTTATTAGAAGAGATCGGAAGACTTTGCAATTCCAAAAAATGGAAGGAAATTTCAGTAAACGAAAAGATGACAATGAATAATATCTATTTACAATTCGGTATTTATAATAATTATTTATAATCCGCTGAATGCCAAAGATGTAGCAGCTCATACAGTACGTAGTGCACTTGCGAATAGAAGTAAGGCACAGCGGTGCTGGGCAAAATCAAATGGCGTCATCAACACTCCTTCGAAGTATAATGAAGGATGATGTGATGGCATTTCTTTCATTTCTCTCATCAATATTTCGATTGTTCACTTATCTAAGATTCTTCTGGTTTTTCTGGAAATTAGTTTTGTCGCTATGCATTAGCACCAAAATGCGCTTTTGTGCTATTCTATGGATCCTAAGCCATCTATTATGCACAAGATTATTTTTAATCTTTTTCAATGTCTATCATGCTGGCCTTCTATTTTCTCACCCGTCTCTGCATTTTGTTAGAGTATACTTTCATCTTCACAAAGGATTCGGACCACTCAGGAAGACTTCCCGAATTATGCTCACTTCTTTATTTTTTCGCTCCAAAAGGATTTCATAATAGAAGGTGTTGCATCGTTTCGTTTGCGCCACTCCAGACAACATTATCTTCTTAAGTAATGGAGACTAGAAAGGATGCAACTAATCTCAAACTAATGAGATTTGGAACGAAAAAAAGGAAAGTGACGGAGAGTGATAGAGTTGGCATACTAATACCATGCCATAGATGTGCGGTTTTGTCAACAGTGCCAGTAAGAAAACGACTATATGAGCAGCTTTTGTCGAGGTGAGGGAGTAACAGACAGTTGCAAAAGACAAAATAACTGAGAACGTGAATATGGCTTGATTCGACTGCGATTAAATTGGAGATTCTGTTTTGATAAAGCAGCCAAATGATCTTATAGATGACTTCTGGAAATGGACGAGAAGACATGGCAATTGTGATAGTGTTACAACAAAATACCACTTTACGAGCAAAATCAAAACAATATATACTGGTCTTTGGTGCATCCATTAATTGTTTGTAATATAAAATATTAAAATAATTTATGACTGATAATGAGATCAAAGTGCCAGTTTGCAAAGGTGTTAGAAAAAATATTTTTGCATATTAATTTCTTTTTTCATGGTTTTTCAGAACTGGGAAATTGATTGAAAAATTTTTCGCCGCATTTTCAATCAACTTTCCAGTTCCGAAAAACCGTCAAAGAATAATTAATGCGGGGAAGTATTTTTTTTTCAATTATGTTATAATAAATAAAATTTTGTTTAAACAAGAGCTGGAAAATAATTGCTCATTTTTGATGGTTCACTTCAAAGTATTCATTCCTAAGCCAAATGGAAGCTGCTATCTGATCTTCGCCCAATGACATTGAGTCTAGCTGGAGGACGTTATTTGTAGGTTTCACTAGATGTGAGACAGATTGGAGTAATAATTTCAGCAGCAGCCAAGATGCGTCAATTAGGTTTTGAATCCAATAACTTTTGAGGGAGATGAAGGAGAAAAAGACTGTACCTAACTCAGCGCACATAACGAACATATAATATACCCCGAATATTTTTTATAAACACTTCTAGGCTTAGAAGTAGCAAAAAGCAACGGTGCAATGCAGTCCGATGTGCGATTTCCTGAGAATGAATTCCTGATTGATGCATCTTGAATTACCCATTATTAGAATTATTTGATTCCATATGTAATGAGAAAATTAGAGAGTTAATTGTGAGAGAAATTTTGGATAAACAACTATCACCGCTGCAAACAAACAAAGCTTTTATGAAGGAAGTGGAAAAAAATGAAAGTGTGAGAATAAATGAGATTTTAAAACGAAAATTCGCTCTAAAACTTCATTTATTTTCAATATCAAACTATACAGATTCCCACACTTTCATTGCTCCAACTTTGCTGGTGATGCCATTAGTATAGATATGGTATCTATTATTAGGAGGGGGAAAAAAACGAACAGAAAATGTCTATTTTTGATGAACAGATGAATAGCTGACTGTAAAGTTCCGGGACCGTATTTACCCATTTATGTCTGCGTGATATTACAGCACATTCGTATAAGAAATCGTAAGTGTATCCATCGGTTAAAATATAAAAAACAACGAAAAACGATCCACTTCTTGCTGTCAGTTTTGATAAAATCTTATTAATTAGTAGATTGAACGGTCACATAGTTTTAGAACAACTATTTCTTATGACGCTGTATCCCGCGACATGACTCAGTAATATATCTTTTGTATTCCGTTGCTTGTAGATGGGGGGAGAGAAGGTATAGTCCTTGTATGTGGATGTGCTCAAAAGATGTTACAGTTTCTCAAGCGATGAAATCTGCAACGATCAAACTGACTGGGAATGAAATTGAAATTGTTGTGAATGTTTTAGAAATTTTGTGTGCAGGCATAGTCGAATATTGATAATCCCATGTATCTGTCCCTATCCCTTATATAGCAGGAGTTTGTTTACAATTCAGTTGTATTTAATATTCTCTGGAAACTCTCTTGTAACGTATCATACCTTCCCGTCTATCAGTAAATCGTCGTTAACAATATTCGACTGCGCCTACACACTAAATTTCCAAAATTTTCATAACAAAAGTAAAATAAATGCGCCACAACTCCCTCAAAGCAACGAAATTGCGCAGTTATTAAGTGATTAAATGCGTTTTCAAATGCTTGCTCAATTAATACTGGGAAATAATCACCTGTCAAACAGAAGTTTTATCGTTGTGACATCTTTGAAGTTGTTTTTTTGCATATATTTAATACATATGAGACGCTACAAGATGATTCACTTTCTGACTGCTGACCAATTGCGCGCAGATCGCCGTTCCACACCACCACAGTACTCGAATTAACAATCACGTCAAAAGATCAGTTTAAGCGTTATGAGTCTTTACTGATAAGTATTTACAGTGGAGATATGGATTAACTTGAAATGAAATGCTTTAGCGCGAGAAAATTACTGCCTGCCTAGAAAGAGCAGTTTGAAATCATGAAATAAGCTTCGATAGGCAGATTGCCAATTTTTACGCTTGACATACGATCGAAGGCATATTTTGTTCGCATAAGGATTGTAGCATAATAGAAACACTGAAATAGGGAAGAAGATAATGCCCATCTGAGAAAAAAGATTGCCTCACTATTACTTGACATTTTTGGAAAAGCAGGAAATGAAATGAGACGAAAGCCAGAATAGAGTACCTTTTATTGTCACTCAATACCACAACATATTTATTTCAAATAAAAAAATTTCCCGAAGCTAACGAAAGAATCAGTCAGTAAAGTATGCTTGAATTCAAATTAGTAAAATGAAGGTGATAGCAAGATACACGTGGTAAGAGTACTCTTACTATTATCAGTTTCATAATTGTCAGCTACTGGAAGAATTTCATTTTAGTGATAAGAGGCAGATGATATAAAATAACTGCCAGCAACAATCCTTTACCCAAATTTTTAAAGTATCGAACAAGTGACAAGATGGAAAACTAAGTGTTAGCCGACATGGAATGTTTGATGGCTATCAATTATTGTTTGGGAGTATCAACTGAACAGTCTGTAATAACTTAGCTTTATCGATAGCACTTGCGAAAGGTATTATAGAATAAGAATTTTTGTATGAGTGGAAAAGTTTCAACTTTTTCAAATTAAAGAATTAAAGAATTTGAACATCACCTCCATCTTAAATTTCCAATACTTTTCAGGTGGGAAGAATCATATAAAATTTGATCGTGTAAGTGTCCCCACCTTTTTTTTACCCTTCAAACTATAGAAGGTGAGGGTAATGCATCTATGCGATGTGGGAAGATAACACTAACCAAGAGAAAAGGAAGCCTTTTCTTTCACAAAACACAGATAAGGAAATGGACATTAATTCATGTAACACGTGTGCAAATAAAATAAACGATGAAAGATTTAACGAGCAACTGAATTCACATTCTGTCTCAGTGCAGATATTGATTTGATGCTATGATCAAAACAGGTCGCAGTTGAACATAATCTCCTCTTAGGTTAGTCTCGATCTCGGATCCTCGTTCTCATCATAGTATTTCTTCCGATAAATATCATCTCATTTCATTTGTGTCAAATGTCGTGTATTATTAACAAACTAATTATGTTAATAAACTAATGTCGTGTATTATTAACAAAACGTGTATTATTAACAAACTAACAAACTAACTAATTATTAACAAACTAAAATATTTTTCAGTTTGCAAAAAGTTGAGTCAGCATAATTATCCATACTAAACTAAGACGAGGACACTAATGCTTCTTTTTTATTTCATCACATGAAATTCAAGAGGTTCAAATAAATTATGGTTCTTAAAGCGATGGTTCGCGAGTGTTAAAATATGGTCCGTAAGGGTGGCAGCACGGTGAGCAGAAACTGAACCGGTCTTATATTTAATTAAATGCGTTACAAGTTTCAATGAATGTTTATTTTCAAATTAACAGGATTTATTATTCTGAACGTTGTGATCCCACCAACAAATAAAAAAGCCAAAGTGGTCGCCTGATTACGAAAAAAATTGGAAACTGTTAGAATCAACTGAAAAAAAAAACAACTGCATCAAATTTAAATTTCTTGCAACGTCATCAGGATGCCCAGTATCTATATGCATCAACACTCCTTTTGATCGAAGAAACCACTCGAATCCCTGCTTTTTTTTATCCGCAGTTAACAGCACTATCCGAGTAACATGAATTCTGCCCCTAAATTTCTATTCCAGCATTCACGATTTCATGACACTTCTTTCCGAATATTGATAACATTTGCAAAGCATCTGACCAAGTTTATCTTCACGTTCAGACATCAGGATGTAAACAAGTTACTTCTCACAATAATAGCATATTTTTAAGGAAAAGATTTTGTGCATGCATAAATTCTTACTCCCTCAATTTGTTTGGATAAAGAAACAAATGAATGGAACAAGAAAGAACTGAGAGATATTGGAGATTCAATACGAATGAATTATTTTTGATGTCACAAAAGTGCACATCTCAGCTATTTAAGTGACAGTTGTTAGTCAGTCGCTTACAATTGAAGAAAAACAGTTGTACAGATTTGCTACTTCATCAAATGAGCACAACATAAGGCTATTTTCAAACGATGGTTTTTTATACTGTCCTGGATAAAGTTTTAGCGACTAAAATATTATCACCTTGGCCTGTGAAGTTTGCAGCTAATCTGTTCTGACTGCTTCCTTTTTTCTCGTTAAAAACGGAAAAGAGAGGAATTAATATGGTAACATACATTACGGTTACTTGCACGCTACCTCAGCTAACAGTATGGCTGGATGGCCTTATCTCCCTGACCTGAAAGTGTCCCGGGATTCCTCCCCCAACTACACTACTGCATTTAGCGCAAGGACAGTGCTGCCACTCCTCCTATCTCTTCTTATCACACCACTCCATACATGCCTCAACAACAATCAATGTCTGTGCATGCATGTATGCGTGTGCGCGTGTGCGTGGGTATAGCGTGTGTGTGGTTATATGGGTTCTCGTTAAATGAAATGTCAGGTTAGATGATCGGATATATTCGAGGTGTGAAAGCGCCATTGACTGATGGTATTGGTTCTTTGGCTGATCTGTTAGAGTTATGATACAGATGGCGGTGATGACATTATGTATTCGCCAGCTCTCTCTCTCTCTCTC